TGACCGACTGCTGACTGCTGCTGCTGAAACTCAAACTTCTATTGTTCACATTCTGACCTCATCATTGGTTAGTAATGATCACGTGACTTATCTGCTTTTTCACAGACTTGTCCTCACTTCTTAAACTGATCACAAACACACACAGAAATAAGACTGCTTGTAAAGTGATTAAAGTACATTGTTTTACATGATTGAGTCACGTAGAAAATACAATGATTCTTTTTTTTATATCAGAATGACAGAAAAGAAAAAAAAAAACAAAAATACAGAAAAACATTCGATTATGGTGTAGGTATAAAACAGTCTCCTGGGGGCGCTGTAACACCGTAAATGAGACGGTATGCAAACGCGTCTTTTGATGCAAATGTATGTAATACAACTCAGCAGGAAATCCAGCTTCAAAGCTTTTCTCTCACTTAGCAGAACCCATTCTGCTTTTCTTTGTGTCTGCTAAAACCTTGAGTTCTTTTGTGATAAGCGGCCATGTTTGAGTACATCAAAGAGTTCTCACTGTACTCAAACAGAAGAAGGTCTCTGTCGCATCCTGTCGTTATCTTACCACGCGTAGATAATAAACAAAGGTTTTGGAGGTAAATGAATAGGTCACTGTTCTCTTTGTAAACATGGGCAGAGTCATGTGATGGCCAGRGTTTGGAGCATTACATTCCACTCCAAGTTACTGCTACACTGTTATCTCTCCTCAGTTGGTTGACTGCTTCGGCACACTCCCAAGCCAGTAATGATGTAAAGTGTGGCCCTCGGAGAGCTCTAATAGCAGCTTGGCTATCTATTAGGAAGAATATTTCCTTCTGTGTACACTGAAGGTCTTTGAGAGATGCCACACTCTGGTGGATTGCATATATCTCAGCTTGAGATACAGTTGCAAAACAACATATTTATGCTCTCTCTTACTATGGTTGTGAAAAATCAGCACCCCTGCACCTACTGAACCCTTCAGAAGGGATCCATCTGTAAAACAGTAGAAATGATTGGGAGACATGTCCGTCATAGAGAGATTAATCCAGACAGACCTGTCTTCTATAGGGCTGCCACGATTAATCGATTAATCGACAACTAGTTGATTATTAAAATAATCGCTGACTAATTTAATAATCGATTAATCGCTTTCTTTTTTTTGTTGTTCTTTACTTTGTTTTTCTCTCCAAACTGCTTTGACACCTTCCACTGCCACATCTGCCTTTCTGTCCTTGACACACATGCACAGTAGTGGTAACTGGGGT